GAGTGTGAGTACAAATGCTTGTCTGTCTCTCTCTGTTAACCCTTCACCTGTCCAGGGTGTACCTCGCCTCTCGCCCTATGGCAGCTGGAACAGACTGAATTGCATAAGAAGAAGAGAATGGATGGATTACCATTAGTAGTGTAGCCATGAATTATTTTTGTCAGACGTAACATAACAGTGTTATGTTCCATCTTGATTTGATATAGCTTAATTAAAACAAAAGAGCTCAAGTTTACAGCAAATACTAATCTCACGAGAGAACAAGAACAACGACAAGAGAAAAACAGAGGATCTTTTTTTTACCATCCTAAAAATAAAATGTGTATGTCTAAATAACACTATAGCTTGTTATGACTCATATTATAATTTCTCTGTCCCATTTTTCACTTTTAAGTGCCTTGCAGAATCTTCATCCTGGCTATGGAGAGGCCATTATTTGTGGCAAAAGATCAGAGAAAGATTCCTGATGGTCACTGGAATAAACCTCTCAATACATACATGTGGTATAGCTGTAAAGATTTCAAGTTTATTTTTATGTTGTCTGGTTCAAGTTCAGATGAACTGAGCTGTAAGCAGTCAGCTGCCCGCATTATTGGAGGTTATTGACTTTTTCTGTGGCCTAAGCATCCATTTGTGTGTTTCTTTAATTGCTCTGCAACCGGGAACCTGACAAGGATCCCACTGTCTGTTGTTACTGGAAATGGGAATAAATTAGCCTGATCGATTGTCCTATTGATTACATCTCGGATCTCTCTTTTGATGTGACTGGTGCAAGAGGACAGTCAGTTGCAAATTGATGGGATGAGTGTGTATCTTGTATCATGTGTGGCGTGGGAGGAGGGAATCAGACCTGCTCATCAACCAGTCCTCAGAGATTAATATGTCCACCGACAACACCAGCCCTATCAATAGTACTTTCACAAATTGTCTCCGGAGCGCATCGTAATCTGTATGCCCTGCTGGACTCTGAGGGCAGACGCAGTTAAAATGCACTTTACTTCAGTACCAGCCAGGCCAGCCCATCAATCTCTCACTTGTACCTTCTGCTTTTAAGTTTTTCTTCTTGTGGTCCAATGATAAATTTCACAGTTTGTGAGACTTGTTATCATGCAGTCCTCTATATTTCAAGGAAGAGGTCCATAGTCTATGTGCATCTACCTGGAAAGTACTGACAAGGCTGACGTTTGACTGCTGGATGGTTACACACTGACAGTCACTCATACTTTATTTTTTAGAATCTCAAACATTCCTGGATGACATCCACTAGAGGGGGGTATAGTATAAAGAAAGACTTTCAACGAGTTCGGCCTTCCGTACACATCGACACAGCCTGAATTAATAATAAAAATAATAAACGTGAGCATAAAAGGAATATCACATTTTCCTATTTGGGTTTTTTATTAATTGTACTACTCTAAAAAAACCATCCAAGTTTAAAATTTGGAGTGTGACTAAGTCTTTTAAAATTATAATCAGTGTCAGCCTTGTTCCGTCGCTGAAAAACATGTTTCCAAAGAACGATATATATTCTTTTATCTCATTTTAATTATGATGTGCTATGTGCATATTTCTACTAAACAAACCAACTGATTTAAAAAACAAACAAACTAAAAAACAACTAACTACCACTACCTTAAAAAAATACATCTGACGTTGTGTTATCTGATAATACAAAAATAAGTATAAGAAAACAGAGCAAAGAATTTCTTCCAGGAAAAAAATGTGATTAAATGGTAAAACCATTAAAAAAAACACTGCAATAAATAAAAGGACATCACTTGCACCTTGTAGGCAAGCTAGGATAAATGACTGTGCTGTGCGTTCATATTTACAAATAGAAATGTTGTCTATAATGTCTGTTTTTAAACCCTGCGAGGGACAGCAACGTTTACACTGTATTTAAGGAGTTGTCTTTTTTTTCAGCCTACACATTGTTTTTATTTTAACTGAGGGTATTGCCAAGTGTTTTCCCAGTGAAGATGGATTAATGTCTCCAGCGCAGTATTATTATACTGCCTTAGCGGTTCTTTGTGCTGCTGTTTACTGATTAAACCGATAATTCTCCACACAGGTGCAGCCACACAGGGGCAGCACGCACCGGACAAAATAGTAATTGCCTTTAAGAAAAAAAAAAAAAAAAAAGTATA